CGGGCCGGGGGGCGCACGCCCTGCCTCGGGGTGCTGGACAGCTCCGTGCACGCGGCCCCGGCCCAGTCCCGCGCCCTCTGGCCCTCGAGCCTGGCGCTCAAGGTGGGCACTGAGCCTGGGGTCCCAGTCAGCGCTCTCCTGGCCTCCTCCCGGGTCTACGAACCGGTCCCTCCCCAAACCGGCTGCGCTAGGGAGGGGAGAAGGGAGGATTGGCAGGAGGTGGCAGAGAAAGGGCTGCTTAGGGACCTGAGGGCAGAACAGTGCACGGTGGCGCAGGGCTAAGTCCTGTCTTTCTTTCAAGGTGTCCCTGTCCGCACCCGGCACCTCGTTTGCCACAGCCCAAGAGCCCCCGTCACATCTCTAAGATGAATCCCTCTGTGCAGAGCAAGGCCTGGGAAGGAACTTTGGTGAACATACTGAGAGGCCTCTGGAGACCCCCCTCCCCCAGGGGGGACCCCCGAGCCCACCCGGTCATTCTCACGGGCACTGGGGAATGGGGAGGAGGCCTGCTTTTCAGTCTTGGGACCACTGTCTGGAGAAGTGGCAACCAAGGGGGTTGAGTCTGGAAGAGGCAGAAACCAGAAGCGACAGGGAGAAGGGTTGAGGAGGCCATTTAGGGTCAAGCAGGGTCAACCCTCCATCCTTAAGACTAATGTGAAATCAGAGGTCCCCGAAAGTTACCCAGCATGGAGGCCCCACCAGCCTGAGCTGAGGCTTAGGACCCCTCTCCAACATCCCTCCCATTTGATAGTCTCCCTTTATGGAGAGAAGGTTGAGAGGAACTGATGGTCTACCAGTGAAAGTTGCAGACTGAGTAGCTCACTAACTCACTTTCACTGTGCAGGCTGATTGGACTTCAATTAAAAATTTGGAAAAGCCCTTTTAATGTTTCTGAGTTTTCTTATTCTCCCTCTTCTAATTCCTTTGGTGATTTTTCCAAAGCAGACTTCTTCTTAGGAGATGTATTAAAGGATTTAAAAATCAAATAACGAGGTAAATTACTGATTTACGGTATAGAGCACTAGCCTAAGTAATTTGGTTTCAGAATTCCCTCAGACTGCTGACTGTCCGTGAGCAGGCATTTATTTATATATGGCAAAAACGTTCGGTAGAGGCAGGGGCGCTGGCAGGGAGGCTCTGCAGTTTCGTTCCCACCTGAGGATGCTGCCGACTTCAATATGTGTTTGCAAGTTACTTAAGGAATCAAGGGTTGAGACCAAGGTCATGGGGTGTCATATTGGAGCCAGAGGCAAAAGAAAAATCTGAGCCCTTATGTACACTTATCAAAATAATTTCCTATTTTTCGAACCAAGTGGAAAAGGTTAATAAAAGCTCTACAATCACAAACTATCACTATATATAAAGCTCCACTTTCTCCAGTCTGTTCATATCCCATTGTCAACCCTCATACACCCCCACGGCAGGGGACAGCCAGGAACTTCGAGCTGGTTGGGAACACCTGTCCCCATTGCACAGTAGTGCAGGGTTATAAAACTAGCAAAAACAGCCTGTCTTGATTGCAACTTTTGATATTTTGTTCATCACAGATTTTTTTGCATGTATTTGGATTTTTTTAAATGTTGCATTAAAATCTAATTTATCTTGATTACTGAGTTTTTTGGCACTCCCTTAAATTCTGTGCCCAAGATGAGTGCCTCACTTGCCTACCCTAGCACCTGCCCATATCAAGACTGTGGCCGGCGGACACCCCGTTTTCAATCTAGTCTCATGGTGGTGTAGTGCCCTCTAGAGGCTGCTGCCCCAGCCAGGGGCCTGGCTGGGGGTCCCCGGTGTAGCACTGGCCCTGTCCTCACCCCTACTGCCCTCTCGCCACTTCTGGCATAGTTCCTGGTAGCTCTGTCTCTGCTGCAGTACTCCTCCACCCTGGCTGCAGTCACCTGAGTCCTTCCACCTCTGCAACCTTTTAATAAACATCCCACATCGGCTTTAGTTGTATCCAAAAGATTTCAACCCAAAATCTTTCAACTAGTGGAGAATTTAGTACTGGGAAGGGGTGATGTAATAAAAGACCCAGAACATGCAGGCTGGCAGGAGCTGGTGAGGGAGCAGCAGCGGGGAAGGGGGGGCCCAGACATGGGATCAGGGCCCTCCTGGCAGGAAGCTGGCCTTCCTAGTCAGGAGGAGGTAAAGTTGCTGTCTCACGCACATGCATCTCATGAGGCATGGACTGGGGGCCACTGAGGCCTTCAGCAATCTGCTCCAGGAGACAGGAGCAAGAAGGCAAGCTGAGAGGAGAGGGAAGGGACACAGAGGCATCCCACATTAATCCCCATC